ATATGCCACAGACGCGTTGGAACGAGGTTGGGCTAATTAATCAATTTCGCCTAGGTTTATCTGAATCATTAAAAAGAAACGACTTTGCTCATTTTGGTATACCAGACACTTTGGAAGCCTTTATGCAACGGGCTATTTAATTAGACAGACGTCTCAGACAGCAAAGACAAGAAAAGGCAGCAACTTATGCTCCAGCTTCAAAAAACATCTCTTCAAGCTATTCCCCTACTTCTTCAGCAATGGTTCCCACACCCTCAATAGAAGAACATATGCAAGTAGGTCTCATACAAGGAAATTTACCCCTGCTGAACTACAAAGAAGCAGAGAAAACCTGTGTCTTTATTGTGGGCTACACAGTGAGAACCTGTCCTGAAAAATCCACTGGTAAGTGGATCAACCTAACTACTATAACTTAGTCACCACTACTCCACCCTTATCGGTTTCCCTTTCCTTACAGTGGAATGAAAACAGCTACGCATGTCAAGCTCAGACTGTGAGGCAAGTGGCTGTTTTTTGGACATTGACCTTGCACATTCACTTTTTATTCCTGTACACAATAAAACACTCCACTACGAATACAACTTGTGGATGGGTCCTTCTTGCAATCTGGTCCACTTACCAAACAAACTAAACCAATATTAGTGTCAATAGGGAAACATTCTGAGACTGACTGTTGATTTGGTTCCTTCCCCCATTGTTTCCTGTTATTTTGGATATCCTTTGGCTACGGCAACATGATCCTACTATTTCCTGGTCTACTGGTACCGTATCATTCTCTTCACCCCATTGCTCTGTCTTGTTTAAACACTACCAAAAAGGGTTTTAATCATTTTATATTGGAGATAAACATGAAAAAGTAGCAAGAGGTACTCCTCCCTGATGTTTATAAGGAGTATCAAGATGTGTTTGACAAAAAGGGAGTAGAAACATTACCACCCTGTCGGATATATGGTTGCCCAATCGACTTGCTGACAGGAACACCTATTCAGAACACCTATACAGAAAATGAACCCCATATCCTAAAGGAATACATGCAAGAAAACTTAAAGGATTTATCCGTCCTTCTACTTATCCTGCAGGTGCTGGAATATTCTTTGTGGAGAAAAAAAAGATGGCAGTTTAAGACCTTGTGTGGATTACAGAGAACCATATCACTATAAAAAAACACATATCCACTACCCCTTTATTCCTGAACTTATGGAACGCCTCCAATCTGTTCGCATATATTCTTAACTTGATCTAAGAGGTGCCTATAATCTGCTCAGAGTCCAAGAGGGTGATGAATGCAAAACTGTATTTTTATACGCGGTACGGTCATTTTGAATATCTGCTTATGCCCTACTGACTCTGTAATGCCCCTGCCTCTTTCCAGCATTTTCTCAACAATGTGTTTCATGACCTTCTCAATCAATATGTAGTCATCTACTTAGATGACATAATGGTCTTCTCCCCAGATCTACAAACCCATCATCTACATATGACTGAGGTAATGAAACATTTAAAGGGACACTATAGTCACCCAGACCACTTCAGCTCAATGAAGTGGTCTGGGTGCCAGGTCCCTCAGGTTTTAACCCTTCACATGTAAACATAGCAGTTTCAGAGAAACTGCTATGTTTACATAGCAGGCTTAATCCAATCGCTAGTGGCTGTCAACCTGCTTGTCCCCATACGTGTCCCAGACTAAGTCCCATTTTGCCCATATGCCCGGTTTGTGCTATTCAGTCTGTGGGACATTTCTTCATACACTCTGGTCTTATTGAGTTTTCCTAGTACCATATTCAGTGCGTATTTTTCCATAGGGATTTTATTAGACATGTGCAATTCGTTTCGTGATGCTTTCAAATGTCCGAAGTGCCGAATTTCAGAAGTACCGAAGTACTTCAGATTTCTGAAAAGTGGCAAAACAGGAGAGGGTTGGGATTAGAGTAGGATTAGTGGTTAGGGTAGAGGTAGGGGTTGGGTTAGTGATTGAAGTAGGGTTAGGGGTAGGTTAGTGGTTGGAGTAGGGTTAGGTAACCCTATTCCTAACCCTACTCCTAAACTAACCCTACCCCTACTCCTAAACCAACCCTAAGCATAATCTAACCCTACCCCTAACCCACCCCTACTCCTAAACCAACCCCTAACCTAACCCTACCTTTAACCCTACCCTACCCCTAAACCAACCCCTAACCTCTAACCCTACCTTACCCCTAATCCTTCCCTAACCCTACACTTACCCGAAGTCCCGAATTTCGGAATGCCAAACGGAATATTTTTCCCATGCACATCCCTAGATTCTATGCTGTTCTTTGCGGCTATCAGTACGTGAATAATTGCTGATCTGTCTCCTTTTTTGTACAGCTTCGGGAATATGTGTAAGATGTATAGTGCAATGTGAAGCGGCATATCCTGCCCCGTCATGGTGAGTATCACCTCTTTGATTTGTGTCCAGAAAGGCTGGAGTGTTTTGCAAGACCAGAACATATGGCTAAACGAACCCTTCCCGTCCCCGCATCTCCAACACCTGGGGGCCTGTTTCCTAATTAATCATATACAATCTCTGTAGCAGGCCGATAACAGTTTCCTGCCTAGTTTCCCTCCCACACATAGTCATTCAAAGTTACCCATCAGGGACGGGTTTGGTTTTGCGCCTGTGATCTCCCGTACCATATGTTTAATTCTCAGGTATGTGAAAAGTTCCCTGTTGGAGAGCATGTAGTTCTTTTGCAGACTGGGGAATGCTTCTAGCCCGGAGTCCCCAAACAATTGGGCAATTCTCTGTATACCTTCAGAGATCCATGGTTGGAGCTGCAAGTCCCTAGGTTGGTATTGCAGGCACTGTAATGGGGCAAATCACAGTGGGTTGTTCGGAGCCAACAGAGCTCCAGCCCACTTCTTCCACACCTGAAGGGAAAGTGCTGTGGCGGACAAAGGCTGTATCTGGGTGGGTTGCAGTTGGGCCGGGAGCCACAACAGGGTCAAAATAGAATGTGGGGCTATCACCGAGTTTTCTAGTGTGTAAGGTATTATTCTGTTTTGTCATGGAGGCCTCCTATTTGTGCTAATATAGTGGCAGAGTAATATTTGTAAATGTTTCCACACGTGGGCATTTAAAACCTTTTGGAAGTTCGTAAGTATACTGTTAGGTACTTCCACTGGAATAGTGCAGAATAGGAACAGTATCTGAGGGAGTACCATCATTTTTATTGAGCTAATTCTACCAAACCATGAAATCATTTTAGTTGAACAGTTAGCAGTTTAGTGTGGTTGAACTGTATCAACTTTTGTTGTTGTTGCAAGTTGTATGCCTAAGTATGTTAGAGATTTATCTCTCCAATCGAAGGAGAATTGTTCCTTTAGAGTGTTTTTGGTTGCTTTTCTCATGTTTATGGACAGCACCTGCGTCTTGTTGATGTTATTTTTATAGTAAGATATTGATCCATATGCTTCTAATAAGTGCATTAAATGGGGGAGTGATTCTGTAGGATTTGCTGGCAATAGGAGAATATCATCCCCCACCGCTGTATCTAGTCCCTTGATCTTATTGAGAATTTGTATGTGCTTCACCAGAGGTTCTAATGCTAATATAAAAATTAATGGCGACAAGGGGCATCCTTGGCGGGTACCGTTTGTTAAGCTAAAGTTTAAGATAAAAAGTCGGTATTAAGGATTTTGGCGGATGGTGTTGTGTATATTGCCAGTATTGGTCTTAAGAAATTAGCCGGGACACCAAATTTTTTAAGGACCTCTGTCATGTACCCTCAATGTAGACGGTTGAAGGCTTTTTCGGCATCTAATGCCAGCAAAAGAGCCAACCTGTTTTCTCTTTTCATTATTTCAACCAGATCCAGAAATCTTTGTGTATTATCTCCTGCCTGCTCTCGGGAAACCAATTCGGGTAACATGGGCTTTATGCGGTTGGCAATGGTTTTAGCAAATAGTTTTGTGTCCGTATTGAGCAGAGATAGTGGGCAAAATTTTTCGCATTTATTGGGAGGTTTTCCTGGTGTGGGTAGGGTTATAATGTTTGCCTCCAGCATTTCAGTGGGTATGACACCTGGTTTCATAATTTAATTGAAGAGGTCTGTAAGGTGAGGAGTCAGTACGGTGTGCTTTGGTAGGGACATTAATGCCTTGAGTAAAGGGGGCATCCAATTCTGCCTCCTCCACCTGTGATAGGTGTGGTATCTTAACCCGATCTAGGAACTTTAGTATATCAGTACCAGTGGGTTGTGGGCCCACGCTGTCCCCATTGAGGTTGTATAGTCGCTCATAATATTCTGCAAATGCATCCAGTATACTGGATAGGTTTGTTAGTTTTACCCCCTGTGGATTAAAAAATTAGGTTGATTTTACTTGCTCAAGGTTTTCTACGGGCCCAATTGACACTACAAGAGAGTCAAGAAACCTATAAAAAATATGCCGACCTTAAAAGACAATCTGCACTGACTTATCA